AAGGAGACACCGACGGAAGAACAGTAGGGTTAAAGCCATAGTTCAAGAAAAAGGGGCTATTACGAGTGGAACCACAAACAAGGTTGTTGTGAGCAAACTCCGCCCAAGGAATCAGACCGACCCAGTCATCCTGGTGTTCAGAAACAAAACAACGTAGATATTGCTCAATTTTTTGGTTAGTGCGTTCGGCTGCTCCGTTAGATTGAGGATGATAGGCCGAAGAAAAATTCAGTTTGATGCCCAACTGTGAACAGAAGGATCTCCAAAAACGGGAAATAAATTGGGAACCCCTGTCTGACACAATCTCATTGGGAATACCATGTAAACGGAAAATTTCTCTAGCAAATATCACGGCCAGTTCGGGGGAGGACGGAAGTTTAGGCAAGGGAACGAAATGAGCCATTTTAGTAAACCTGTCAAGGACCGTGAGGATAACTGTATGCCTATTGGAAGCTGGTAGATCAACAATAAAATCCATAGCCAAACAAGCCCAAGGTTTGTTGGGAACGACTAAGGGCTGCAATAAACCACAAGGGAGATCCCGCGGAAGTTTATTCCTGACACAAACATTGCAAGCCTTGACAAAGTCTTCCACATCCCTACGTAAACCGGGCCACCAGAAGTCTTTGGAGATCAGACAGTAAGTTTTGTGGATGCCGGGGTGACCAGCGATCTTGCTATCGTGGAAACAGCGAATAATGTCCACTTGGAATTTGGGAGATACGAACAAGCGGCCCACAGGAGTACGTTCAGGAGCAAGAGATTGTTCGTTCTGAATATCAGCGAGCAGTGGAGAGTGTATTTTGACATTGGTGTTGGCGATAATATTGACTTCAGGAATAATAGGGAACAAAGTATCCTCTTAAGTCAAGTTTAGTAAAAATACTCGAGCCCTTTAGTCTGTCAAAGAGTTCAGTAATCAAAGGAATAGGGTAAGCATTTCTGATAGTAATTTTGTTCAATCCCCGATAGTCTATACAAGGACGTAAGGTACCGTCTTTCTTTTCTACAAAAAAGAAACCCGCCCCCGCCGGAGAAGAAGACTTTCTAATAAATCCCTTGTCTAAATTCTCCTTGATATATTCCTCTAAAACTAAGTTTTCCTTGGTGGATAGAGGGTATACCGTACCCCTGGGAGGCATAGTACCAGGGAAAAGTTTAATAGAACAGTCATAAGACCGGTGGGGAGGTAAAGTATCCGCCTTACCCTTGTCAAATACAGATTTGAGGTCTAGATATTGTAATGGTATCTGAACGTCTGTGGATTGAGAAGTGTTAGCATAAGAGTTTACGGGGCAAACAGAAGTAACTCTCTGCAGACATTCTTTCCTACAACCCATACCCCAAGAAACGATTTCTCCACCCTCCCAGTCAATCTGAGGGTTGTGTCTCTTGAGCCAAGAATATCCTAGAACCACTGGGACTGCCGGGGAGGAAATTAACAGAAGGGAAATCAACTCTTCGTGGAAAATACCAACAGTAAGCTTAACGGGTTCGGTCTCATGGAATATTACTGGTTCAGATAAAGGTCTACCATCTATGGCCTCAACGGCCAAGGGTGTATCTCTCAATTGGAATGGGATACAATGCTTATTAGCAAAAGTTTGGTCTATAAAGCTTTCTGCTGCTCCAGAATCTAATAATGCCATCGTAGCAATAAACCCCTTTTCCCAAGCTAGAGAGATAGGAATCAGAAGCCTATGGTCTTTTTTATTATGCATAGAGGACAGTAATGAAACACCCAAGGCCCGTCCTCTAAGGGAACTTAGGTGCAAGCGTTTCCCGGACGATTAGGGCAACTAAGACGTAGGTGACCTCTCAGCCCGCAGTATAAACAGAGACCCTCCCTTCTTCTGTACTGTCTCTCAGCCTCAGATAAGCGAGTATTACCTATTTGCATAGGTTCTGGTGGAGTAGGATTATAGGAGTCAGGGTTCTGAAATGAGGGAGCGAGTCTTACAGGAAGTCTAGTAACTCTTTCCCGAGTGTTCTGCCTCTGTCTCATGCGTTCATCTATTCTGGAAATGAAGGATACTAAATCCTCTAAATTTTCCGGAAGTTCTCTTGTGGCAATTTCATCTAGAATTTCATCAGACAACCCATTCAAGAAAACATCCATAAAAGCTTGTTCGTTCCATTTCACTTCTGCTGCCAATGATCTAAACTCTAGAGCATATTCTACAAGGGTCCTATCCTGTTGTTTAAGGCGTAACAGGGATCTGGCCGCATTAATCTTCCTCCCTGGGGGGTCAAAGGTTCTTCTAAAAGCCGTGACAAACGCAGTGTAGTTGTAGACTAAAGGATTGTCATTCTCCCAAAGGGGATTGGCCCATCTAAGTGCTTTATCTATTAGCAGGGTTATAATAAAGCCTACCTTAGCCCTGTCAGTGGGGTAAGCCCGGGGTTGTAGTTCGAAATGTATACTTATCTGGTTTAAAAAACCACGACAAGCATCAGGCGAACCCCCATATCGTAATGGTGACGTGACATGGGAAGATGCGCCTACAGTGGCTACTTCCAAACCAGTACTTAGCGAGTGGCTAGCAGTGGAACGTATTTCTTCAGACTGGGTACTGGAGCGTGTCAACAAAGTTTGTAATGCTAAAGCCATTTGGTCCATTCTATGGTCCATGGCCTCAAATCTGGGGTCAGGAGGACTAGCACCTGCAGGATCCATCATGGCCCTGTCGTAATGTCAGGAAACTGACAGGGATCCAATACGCAGAGTGCGCACAGAAGGAGGTACGTATACCGGACCTTAGAATGGCCGGACTAACGTAAGGACAAAGCAAGAATAGTCAAAAGGTAAGCCGAGGTCAAGGGAGCCGGAGGACAGGTAAGCGAGATACAAGCCGAGTCAAAGGAGAGGAGAGGACAACAGGACAAAAGACAAGCAAGGGTCAAAACCGGAAACACAAGATAAAGAACGCGCTGAGTGACTAGCAAGCTAGAACCACGACAGGGCAATGAGCAGTAGTAAAGGTTTCCTTTAAATACCCTGTACCTAAATAGAGACCACGCCCCCAAAAGGTCCGAAATAGCGGTTCCCGGCACTTTATGCAAATGCCGACGTCATGACGTCGACGCTAGCCGTCGCGTCATAAAAGGGGGAGGAGCTAGCGCGGCCGGCGCGAAAACGGCCGGAATATGCCGAAATGCTAGGGGAAGGGAGCCCCTAAGCAGAGAGGATGTCCTCCCTGGATACATCACCAACAGGTACCCTGACACCTCAGTGAGTTAACAGACAAATAAAATTAGAAACCCAGAATGTGACGACAGATAAAAACACCCTTACACACAGCACCCCTCTTACACAAACACGCTGCGCACCTCACACATACAATACGTCCAAATATATTTTATATATATATATATACAAAAATCAAAACTGGGGATGCACTCACAGGACTTGCTTAAAGTGAAAAAAAGGGACTTTTAATTATTCCATGTGAAATGTACAGAAAAATCAATTTTCCATTCACATGAAATAATTAAAAGTCCCTTTTTTTCACTTTAACCAAGTCCTGTGAGTGCATCCTCAGTTTTGATTTTTGTATATTTCTGACGTTTGGGATATAGCACCCAGGCTATTAGTTCTTTCTTATTACTTAAAGGAGAGTGCCAAGCATCCTGTTTTTTTATATATATATATATATATATATATATATATACACACACACACACACACTACAGCACCCCTCACACTGCACCACTACACACATTACGCTCCAGATACACGCTAGATCCCTTACCCTATATGCACTCTTAATCCTCTACACACACACACACACTCTTCTATACACACTCTGGGTCCTTTACACACTAGATCTCTTACACACACACTGCACCACCTACACACACACTACATTCCTTGTAAGCAAACACATACAACATTCTCTAAACACACCCTCTCTACACACAGTAGTGTGTGTGTATAAGTGACACACACTACGTCACCTATACACACATACTACTGCCCGTATGCACACACTCGCTACATCCCCTATAACACTATGCCCCTATACACGAACTCTGTACAGCCCCTAGCCACACATATTACACCACAAAATTGACCTATTTACACAATACCACACCACACTCTACACACAGGCAATCCCACAAGCATGCGCCAAACACATGCACCATACACTTTCCTGGCCCTTTTGTACTCTGGTATCCCACTTGTGGAGACACCAGAGACAATTTAAAAGCAAACACAGCGCAAGCATGTTATTACATTTGCTTGTGCTGCGCAGAACAAATACAGGGCCTTTTTCTAATGCTAGAGCTCTTCAGCGGGGCTCTGCGCATTGAACCAACATGCTCACTTTCTCTGGCACCGCCCCCTTTTGGGGGGCCGCTCTAATTGAAAAATGCCCGGGCCTAATTTTTTTCCCAGTCCGCCCTGCTTTTGAGTGTCCTTGCAAAGAAAGGTGGCTATATTGGTCACTGATTTGTTTTTGTTTTGTTTTTGAATGTCAGAAATGTATATTTGTGAATGTTGAGATGTTATATTGGTTTCACTGGTAATAATAAATAATTGAAATGGGTATATATTTGTTTTTTGTTAAGTTGCCTAATAATTATGCACAGTAATAGTCACCTGCACACACAGATATCCCCCTAACATAGCTATAACTAAAAACAAACTAAAAACTACTTCCAAAAATATTCAGCTTTGATATTAATGAGTTTTTTGGGTTCATTGAGAACATGGTTGTTGTTCAATAATAAAATTAATCCTCAAAAATACAACTTGCCTAATAATTCTGCACTCCCTGTAGACATTGTATAGGGGTGTGCACTGTATTAAACTATATCAGAATATGTCATAATTATTATATTTAGTATGACTATCATAAATATAACGTAACACACATGGTCACTTTATATAGCACACCTGGGCTTGCATAAAACCCATGTAAGAAAGTGCATTGGCATTCCATTCTCTACTTTCTGCTGGTTTGCATTATTTTTTATTAGTAGAAGCCTTGACATCTATACTGTTAACTTTCTGATTTTGGAGTATTTTAGGAACTGGGAGGTGTTTATTTCACATTTCTAAACAAATGGTTATCCATTGCCATGGCGATGGAGAAAATGTGATTATCAGAATGCCAAGTAATCAGGCTTCTCTCACACACTGTCCGCAGTGCAGTTGTTTTCTTGTACAATTTAAAGAAATCATGCTGTTTTGCTCTTTCCTAGGGCACTCATGGGGTTAACAGATCTAATGCACTAGAATAGATTTAGCCAAAAGGTAGATACCTATAACTCCCATGATGCTTTTCCAGATTTCCAGACACCCTTGAACAAATACAAGTGTTGGTAAAGTAATATACTGTTTTATAATATTCTCCATATGTTGATTTTTACATTTCAGTTTTTTTAAAGCACTTATAATTATGTCCTTCATTTCATATTTTTCGCTAAGCTTTTCAATGTCATATTTAATATTTTTAAAAGGTTTTATAGATTGATATATCTTTTATTATATATGATATATTTTTCATATTTATTTATTTATTTTTTTAAAGCTTTTAAAAAGTCTATCCAAAAATATGAACTCAAGGCATATATTTGAAGAATTCCAGATAGCACGATTTGACCTGACTTTGCAGCGGAATATGGCTTATTCTGGAATACGCACTAAGTTACACTGAAGTCGTTTTGTGCAAAAAAAAGAATTGGGGGAAAGTTCTAAAATTAGAGCAATCAGTGTAAACATTCCATTGGTTTCCATGGTAATTGCCCAACTATTAGAAAGTCGTGTATATCAGTTATCAGGAAATATTAGCGAAGCGTCCCCTGTAATTGCACGGTCTCTGTCAATTCATGAAGTGTTTGAGCTAACTAGCCAGGCATACTAAATTTTGAAATTCACCATGCTTTCCCAACAATTCTCAACCCTGTCAGGTATAGACAAGGAATATTCTCATACGTACCAGTTCTCTATGTTTCCTGAGGTATGGATTCCCACAGGGTTCACTAAATTGATCAGGTATTTGAAAAGTAAATTTTGTTAGATAAGTTGAATTTGGGGAAAAATTAAAGAACAATTAGTTGATTATTTCAATGTATTTGTTAAATGTAATTGCAGGGAGTTTAAAATCATATTGCATTGCACCATTTAGGTCTGGCCCTCTTTTCAGATATCAGTAAAGCATACTTCCCTACATCTGCATTAGTGACATCAATTACGCTCTCAGTCAATAAATTCATTTCAATGTCTGATAAACATGATATATCTAAAGTGGAAGGGAAACTTCGCTGAAGCTACATCTAAACAAAAGGCCAGACTCTGGCACCCAAGGGACCCAGGTAAGTATCAAATCTTTTGAAAATGTTTTACTACTTACTGTAGAACTATGCCAAGATTCTTCCCACCATAACCACTGTGACAAACTCCCCTTTTCAAGTGAGTTTGCCAAAGGTTCCTGACGGAGCCTGCTTGCCAGCCTCCTGCCCGCAGACTATGGACCTTGTAAAATGTGATATAAAAGTCTCCGTTCGTGTATTTGGACTATATGGTTCGGGAACCGAACAGCCGCACGAACCAGAGACCACCCTGGAGCTTGTTAAGCCTAATTGCTACTTTGTAACAATTTCCACCTCAGTGTTCTAAGTGTATTCCTATGGATGACCACAAGGTGGTGGCCATCTTGTTAGCATGAACGCAGGCAGCAGTGTTTGGTCGTTGAGTTCATTAAACTATTTTCGGATACTGAAACTCTCGAACACCACTGGACTTCCATGATCGCCTGCGTTCGGTTCAACAACACTTAGAAAGACATTGTTCGGTAGAAATGTTCCCACGAACAAGAGGAACAAGCTCCAGGGTAAGACTATTGACTATGTTGTAATTTGTTTGTTTTTAAACTACCGAACTAGACCGACCGCAAGCCCTGATTCTCTGGAACTGTTTTGGGCATGGGACAATGTGTGCGGTCAGTCAAACAAATGACTTCCAGGAAATTCCTGAACCCCTGAACTGATCTGGGTTATTTTTGGATATGTTGGTCACCCGGATCAGGGCTATCAGGTGATGTAACTTTTGTTTTTATGTATTTTTAGGGTACTTTTGGGGTGTTTGGGGAAAAAGTATGTCTTTCCTGTGTTTGGAGATATTTTGATTAGATTAGTACAGTTCCTGATCCAATTATCTCCCAGGCACAGAGGAGGGATTATGTATGGGAGTGTCGTGGATCTGAGAGCCAATGTAAGTGTGTATTTGTTTCTACTGTGGTTTACTCTCAGGTCCAGGGGGAGTGCCCCTTGCATGGGGACATGCATATAAGGCCTGTTGTGGCTGCCATTAAAGGATTCCAGCTTGTACTCCCAGAACTATGTGTCGTCTGGTTACTGGGAGGGGAAAGGGCTATTCTTTAATCACTGTTCCATTCAACGGGGAAAGTCCTCCCAGGAATGAGTGTTGTCCAGTGCCTGGAGGCTGCTAGAGTGAGTTCACCATTCGGCTCCAAGAGAGAGCGGTTCCAGGGTCCCAGTTAAGCCACGGTGACTGTGGGCAGAAGTGCTGCGTTTTGTCCCCTGTACCAGCTAGGAAACAGTCCTTTGGCGGAGGTATCCAGTCGGGGTACAGGGAGCTCCGCTACAACCACTCCAGTGCTCTTTAAGTTCCCCTCGCCAGTTTATAAAATGACTGAGCTGTGTAAATAAAAGTTATATTGGATAAAGTTAACATTTTAGCTGTGTTTGACCTGAAATGTATAACTTCCTGGAGAATTCCAAATGATCCAGATTAGTGAATAATCCCACTAGAATCTGGGCTTGCTTCTCAATTTGTTAGACCTCTTACTTTAGTGACAATTACCCTAAAATGTATAGATTAATTGAGACAATTACGTGACGTTCAAGGCCAAAGTAGGTGTGGCGAATAGAACCTTACCACGGGTTCCTGGAGAAGCCTGCTTGCCATCTTCCTGCCTCAGTACTATGGGCCCTGCAATATACCTTGCCCAATGCACTTTACCAGGCTCAGTCCATGTGATTTATGTACTTCTGTACTCCTGAAAGAGAGACCGACGGTTAGCCTTGATTCCCTGGAACTGTTTTGGGCATAGGACCACATGCACGGTCGGTCAAAATTATGACTTCCATGGAAATCCCGAACCCCTGAACCGATCTGTGTGTTTTTTGGATATTTTGGTCCCTCTAGATCAGGGCTATCAGAGGATGTGACATTTGTGGGGATTCCATGTATTTTGGTGGTACTTTCAGGATGTTGTTAAAATGTATGTTTTCTGTGCCTGGAGATAATTAAGTTTAGTACAGTTTCTGACTCAATTATCTCTCAGGCACAAGGGAGAGATTACCCTGTTTTGTGTGGGAGTGTCCTGGACCTGAGAGCCAATGTAATTATGTGTATGTTTTACTGTAGTCTCCTCTCAGGTCCACAGGTTAATGCCCCTGAAATATGTATCCGGAAACCCACTGCATGGGGAGTTGCATATAAGGCTGCATGTGGCTCCCATTAAACCAGTTCTTCTTCGCTCTCAACATAGAGCCTCGTCTCATGTGTGGAAGGAACAGCTATATTCACTCTGGGGATTGCTATACTCATTATACTCCCTTGGATTATAATCACTAGCTCTTGTAAGAGATACACGCCTCACCCAAGGGTGGAGTTAAGGCGTGTCTATAGAGATACTAAGTGACCACCCCCTTGTGTCCTGACCCACATCAATCCAAATGGTAAGATTTGGTTCTATCTTCTCTTATGTACCTGCCACAGAAATAATAATTGCATCTACAAATGTTTTATTATTTTCCCATTTTATAGATATGTCACACTTCTTTTTTTCTTTTTTCTTTTTTTATAATTCTTTATTTTGGATGTGCATGAGAGATATAAGATGGACAAAAGACATTCGTATATCATTCATGTCAGATATAGCTTAGGCATGTCTCGCAATGTGCACATTTTCTTTTTTTTTTTCAACATTGAACAATGGCATACTAGGCTAACATGTTAGAAGTTATGTAGACAAATATGCAGGAGTCTTGTAACAAAGAGAAACATTGTGTCATTATGGATGGTGTGTGTGTGGTTCATGGAGTTTAAGTAGGTGACATGTGCAGTGGCGTACTAAGGGGGGGGCAGGGGGGCGGTCCGCCCCGGGTGCCACCAGGGTGGGGGGTGCCATGACCAGCCCCGCCGCCCCACCACCCCCATGCTGCAGCCGCCCGAGCGCTCTGTGAAGAGCCTCAGGCGGCTGCAGCTTTGCCCGGGCGGTGCGTCCATGAGGGCGGACCGCACCGCCCGGGCGCAGCCTGAGGAGAGGCTGACAGGAGGGAACGCTCCTGTCAGCTCCCTCACTGCAGCATGGTCCGACGGGTACAGAGAGCAGCTGTCTCCTGTACCCGGCCGGACTAACAGGAAGTGCACACTGAGTGTGCACTTCCTGTTAGTCCGGCCGGGTACAGGAAACAAAAGCTCCCTGTACCCGCGGACTATACAGGGCTCGGCCACGCTACAGGGAGGTAGGGGGGAGGGGGAGAAAGAAGGGGGAGAGGAGGGGTGAGAAAGAAGGGGGGGGGTGAGAAAGAGAAATAAGGGGGTGAGAGAGGGGTGAGAAAGA